ATCCTACAGCCAGCATTATACTTAATGGCAAAAAGCTAAAGCCATTCCCTCTAATATCAGGAACGAGACAAGGATGTCACTCTCTCCACTTCTCTTCAATTTAGTATTAGAATGCCTAGCTACAGCAATAAGACAAGATGCAAACATAAAGGGGATCCAAATAGGGAAAGATGAAGTAAAACTCCCTCTTTGCAGATGACATGATCTTGTATTTAAAGAATCCCACAGACTCCACTCTGAAGTTACTTGAGTTGATGTGAAACTTTGGCAAAGTAGCAGGGTATAAAATTAACCCTCAGAAATCAATGGCGTTTCTATATGCCAATAACAAGAGCATAGCTGAAATCAGGAAAGCAACTCCTTTTGTAATAGCCCCACAAAAAATAAAGTAGTTATGAGTTGAGTTAACTAAAGAAGTGAAGGACCTCTATAATGAAAACTTTAAAAACCTGAAAAAGGAAATTAAAGCAGAACTAAAGAAGTGGATAAACCTCCCATGCTCCTGGGTTGGGAGGATTAACATTATGAAAATGGCAATACTTCCCAAGGCTATCTACAAATTCAATGCGATACCTATCAATATCTCAACCTCATTCTTCAATGAAATAGAAGAAGCAATCCAAAAATTCATATGGAACAATGAAAGACCCCAATTGCAAAACAAGCCTTAGAAGAAAGAACAGTGCTGGAGGAATACCACCACCAAACTTCAAACTGTACCTCAAAGCCATAGTAATCAAAAACAGCTTGGTACTGGCACAAGAACAGACCTGAAGATCAATGGCATAGAACTGAAGACCCAGAAATGAGCCCACAGACTTGTAGCCACCTAATCTTCCATAAGGGAGCTAAAAAAATAGAAAGGAAGAAAGCCTCTTCAGTAAATGGTGCTGGCAAAAATTGGTTAAACACCTGTAGGAAACTAAAGCTAGATCCTTATCTATCACCCTCACCAGAATCACCCTGAAAACATTACAGGAAGGAATAGGAGAAACTCTAGGTCTCCTTGGCACAGGCTGAAATTTTCTTAAGATCCAGAAACACAACAAATCAAAGACATGTTGGACAAATGGGATTGCATGAAACTGCAGAGCTTCTGCATGGCAAAGAAAAGAGCAAGCAAGATCAATAGAATGCCCATGGATTGGGCCAGACAAGTCTCATATCTAAAATATACTTAGAACTCAAAAAATTAAATCCCCCAACAACAACTGCCTGATTAATAAGTGGGCTAAAGACTTAAAGAGAGACTTTTCTGAAGAGGAAATAAGAATGACCAATAGATACATGAAATGCTCAACTTCTCTAGCCATAAAAGAAATGCAAATGAAAACAACATTGAGATTCCACCTCATCCCAGTTAGAATGGCTATAATTAAGAAATCTAATAACAACAGGAGGGGATGTGACCAAAAGGGAACCCTACTGCATTGTTGGTAGGAGTGTAAACTTGTTCAACCACTCTGGAAAGCAGTATGGAGGTTCCTCAAAAGATTACACATAGAGCTCCCCTATGAACCAGCAATCCCACTTTGGGGCATTTACCCAAATGATCACAAACAAGACCATACTAAAGCTACCAGCACAGCTATGTTTATTGCAACATTATTCACAATAGCTAAATTCTAGAACCAACCCAGATGCCCCTCAGTAGATGAATGGATCAAGAAAATGTGGTATATATACACAATGAAATTCTGCGCCTCCATCAGAAAGAATGACACTGCCCCAATGGAAATGGAAAGACTTGGAAAAAATTATATTAAGTGAAGTAAGCCAGGCCCAAAGAAACATAGGTCCCATGGTTTCCCTTATTTGCAATTACTAGTATACATCTAGTATAATCTTACTAGAGAAGCAGAAAAGGTCAAAAGCTATGTACATATGACCAGATAAGATGATGCTAGGCAAAATGAACCCCAAGATAGGGACACAAAAGGTTTTATCTTCTCACTGTTGTTTTTAAAGTACTATGTGATTTTTTTTAATTTTGTATGTTCTTCCCTTGTGCTATAGCCCCTGTTGTCACTGAATCTGATTCTGGTGTCCTGTATCTTGTACATACATATTTCTAATTTGGGAGAGAAAGGGAAATAACAAAGTGCTGAAACAAGGATACAGGTTGACCCCTTGTAACAATGAGATGTATGAGACACTATGTTGAAAATGAACTTTACAATATGTAGGGGGGGGGTGAGGGAGGCGTTGGGGAGGTAGGAAGGGAAGGGATAGTAGGGGAAAAACAAAGGAAGGGTTAACAATGCTCGATAGGAAATGTACTCATTACCTTACTCATGTAACTGTAACCCCTCGGTATAGTATCTTTACAATAATATATAAACGTATACATATATATGTATTTATACACACACATATATATAAAGAAAACACTTGCACATGCTTATCAAAGGAAATTCATTTGCAATGCTTTTGATCTGTGGTTGGCTAAATGGCTCATGTGGAAACTAAACACATGGAGGGGCCAACTGATGTAGAAGATGGTTTTGATCATTAGAATACAGAAGTGATACAGAATTTGGAGTGTGAATTCAAATCCAGCCTTTCATGACCTCCCTCCCTCCTTTTCCTTCTCCCTCTCCTGCATATCTCTGACCTGCTTCCTCAATTTCAACAGGTTTGATTGTATCTTCATGTATGAATATGCATATACTGGCCACATTCATCTTTCTTCACCTTCCCCATTTACCCTCCAAACTCCCTGTCATTCATTTTATCTTTCAGAGTGAGTCAATTGCACATACTGTGCTTTTCTTGGAAGCCTCTGGGCAGTATCCTATACCCGGGCCCCAGTGCTCCGCTCAGCCCCGGCCTCTGAACTTGGGAGGTGGATGACCCTTTTGTACCTGTTGAGTGAATTGATGGTTTCCATTCTACAAAGATCATCTTAGTGTAACTAGATATGTAGCTTCAAGAGGGTTTTTTAACTCTTCTCTGGGCTGGGTTTTTCTTTCCTGTGAAGGGCAGAGTAATGGAAGCGTGATGGGTTGGATCCAATGAGAGCCATGTGTTCAGCCCTTAGGACGCTGTCTAGTGCATAGTACACACTGGTGGATGCTTCTTTCTTGAGGACCAACTCTGTTGCAGGCCTATTACAGAATGTATGTATGTATGTATGTATATTTATTTGTTGGTCGTGGGGCTTGAACTCTGGGCCTGGGTGCTGTCCCTGTGCTCTTCAGCTCAAGGTGAGTGCTCTACCTCTTGAGCCATGGTGCCCCTTCTGTTTTTCTAGTGGTTTATTGGAGATCAGAGTCATGGACTTTTCTACCCAGGCTGGCTTTGAACCATGATCCTCAGATCTCAGCCTCCTGAGTAGCAAGGATTACAGGCGTGAGCCACCGGTGCCCAGCTAGAAGCCATTTATTTAAGCCTCAAATACAGACACTGTTATATGCTCAGGGGATTTGGCATTGAATGAGAGTCTACTTTTCTACATATCACTTCTAAAGTTTACAAATGGATATAGCTATTGGTTGTCAGGCAGCTAAAAAAGGGCAGGTTTGCTGAGATTCCAGTTGGACCCAGGAGGCTCATGGGATGCCAGGATCTTGCCACAGCCCCAATCCATCCCCAAATGCTGTGTGTCATTTTTATGGGCAATGATATGTTGGCATAATAGTTATAGAAGTAAGACAGTAGATGCAAATATGTTGTTTTCAGACATTTTAATCTGATTTATGTATCTCAAGTACTAATTTATATTCATATAATACTTCCATTATAAAATATGCAGTGGTACAGAGATTTGTATGTATATGTGAATTTGTTTTAAACGTTAGATTTATAAATGGTTTGGAATAGGCTGTAGAAACATCGTCTGTTGCTCTTTTTAATATATCTTGAGCATGCTATGACACATCCTGAAATAATTTGCGTTGGAAAAAAACCACTGCTCTCCTCTCACTGTCTCTTCCCCCCTCAAAAGTAACAGTAAATATTACTTTGATGTATGTAATTACTTCAACCCTCTCCATTCGACAGGCGGCTTTCTAACCCTTCCATTTCCCATCTCTTGCTTTTGTCAAGAACTCAGAAAAACGGACTTAAACATGCATTATTCAAATGTATTTAGGGTAAACATTAGAGAACAGCTACAGTTTTTCCTTTCTTAAAGTGATTTTGAAGAATAACATGCATATTCTGTCCCACAGGCAATCCTGCTTCCCCCCCAACCCTCAGTGAAGTATTCATCTAATATGTCTTATGATCTCAGGGCTCCTGACAGTGTCACGGACACAGAAGAACCTGATGGATGCTTGGCAGGTTGACTTGAGCAGAATGAACTTGGAATGGTGGGGCTGGTGGTATTCATGGAGGAGCTGTGGAGAGGGAGTCGGGCTGGGCACAGTGGCCCCATGAGTGTTGGGAGGTTGGCTAGGATTGTCTGTGCGACTCTCAGGTGGGTTTACGGCCAGATCCCTGAGCCATCAGCCAGCACTCACTGGCAGATGCGTGGCTGCCTCCCCAGTGTCTCTCTCGTGGGGCTGTTCAGAAACCTGAGCAAGGGATAAAAGCAGCCCTGTCCTGTAAAGCTATGGAACCCTGGAGTTTTCAGCCCAGGTGTCTACCCCCCACCTGCCTGCAAATCCCCTATTCCTCCGTCAGAGCCCCTTACTTGGTCTCTTAAGATCACAACCACTGGATGGGAGTATGGCTCATGGTAGAGAGCTTGCCTAGCATGCATGAAGCCCTGGGCTCAAGTCCTTCCTACCAAGTACACAGAAAAAGCTGGAGGTGACACTGTGGCTCAAGCGGTAGAGTGCTAGCCTTGAGCAAAAGAAGCTCAGGGACAGTGCCCAGGCCCTGAGTTCAAGCTCCAATGACTGGCAAAGTAAAAAATCACTACCAGTGATGTAATTTAATTGTATTAACATTCTCTGTCTCTGCCCATCTCTGTCTCTGTCTGTCTGTTTGATAGTCTTGTTTACCACAGAATTAAAACGTCACTTTTCTATTAATAAACAAGTAAAAATTCTGACCTATTTTTTGGCAGAGAGAAATTCTGGAATTTCAAATCACTGGATCCTTCTTTTGTTGTCCTTTTATTACCCCTGGGATGAAAGGAAATAGATTATAGCTGAGAATTAGCAATAAGCTAGGAGGAAGAATTAATTAAGTGCATTCATTCAGAGAAACAACCACCCAGTCAGATTTAAGTAATGAATGCTGCACATATAATTTTGAGTCTCCCTTTGCATTTCCATTGGGGTTTAAAAAAAGCCCTAAAGCCCCTTGTGTTTAAAGTCATTTAATTACTTAAAACTACTTTTTAAAAAAGCATTATTTTTTCAGGAGGAATATTGTGGGATGGGTCAAGATGGAGCTGTGACTGCTGCTTCCACATGGTGACTTTTAAAAACGTGTGTGTGTGTGTGTGTGTGTGTGTGTGTGTGTGTGTGTGTGAATGTGCAGTACTGGGACTTGAACCCTGGCCCTGGGTGCTGCCCCCTCAGCTTTTTTTGCGTAAGGATGGCACTCTATTACTCGAGCCACAGCTCCACTTCTGGCTTTTTGGTTGATAATTGGAGTCCTAGGCCAGCTTCAAACAGTGACCTTTAGATCTCAGCTTGCTGAGTATCTAGGAATTCAGGCTGGACTAGTGCCTAGCCCTTTAGTGGTATTAGTCTCAAGCTCCAAGAGTTTCTTCCTGGTTTGCAAAATTGAAGGTGTCATACTTCTGTGGCATGATTGACAGGAGGCTGGCAGGATATTGAAAGGTCCCCATCTTCAAGCCTGGGAAGACTCTAGCTGCTTCCTTATATTAGTTGAATTTGATGAGAAGTCTAGAAAATACCAACCCACATAGGAAAACTAGAGATTGAGCAAGAGTAGCCCTGATACAAGTAATAGTTACTGAACTGTCGTATAATTTAGGCATTGTGCTAATCCACTTTCCTTGAAGATTAAATTATTTTAAATTGAGTTAATTTGTTAAAATTCATTAAACACACTATCATAAGCCATTATTGTTATGCATCTCTAGCTCATTTAATTAGCTCAGTTTAACATACTTTTCTTTCTTAGGCACTTCATGAGTTTTATCAAACAGTGGAGACTTTTCCTTCCTGGTTCCTCCAAGACAAGTGGTGGTTAGCTGCTTTAACCCTCTGGCCTTCCTGCTAAGTCCCTTTTGACCAGCTTTGCCTTTGTTTTCTCCTTGGACTTCCTCTGTTCCCTCCCACAGAACTCTTTCAAGTCTACTTCCTTCTTCCCAGCATGCCCCTGGACTGCCTGTTTCTTGCTCTGCTGCCCCTCATGGGTTCTGGTCTTAGATTAAGTGTTAGTCCTTTGGGAGAAACTCTCTCTCTCTGACCTTGCTGACCTGCTCCTTCCCAGAACTTGGTTGGGTTTTAATTTTACTTTCGTTGTAATTGACCTGGAGCTCATGTCTGACAAAACTTTCAACTTGCATCTTTGCAAGACCAGAGATTTGTAGATTTTGTCTTCCCAGAGCTTGGTTGCATGTCTGGCTCTCAGTGGACTCCCGTCGCAGGGCAAGATGTCTAAGGATAGGCTCACAGGTCTAAAGGACATTGAAACTTACCTCAAGATGGCTTAGGGCCTGGCATTTATACAACCTGATAAATAAAATGTCTAGTGAATTGTCACTATGTAAAATGATGGCCTTATTCCATGATTTCAATATTCCTAGCTTTATTTCTTTCCTCATTTAATTATTTAAAAATGATTTCATTTCCTGTACTTCATTCCTTCAATACTGAGGATTGAATCCAGGGCTTATCCCCAGCCTTTTGTGGTTCTATAATTTTTGAGGTAGAGTTTAACTTTGCCAGGGCTGGCCTCAAGCTTGAGATCTTTTGCCTCCATCCCCAAGTAGCTGGGGTTAGAGATGTGTGGTTGTATGTTTTTGTTATTTCACTGTTCTTTCTCTATTTAACCAAAGATAATTTATAATAATATGATAAAGATAATTTATATAGATATATAAAGTTTTATACATATCGAGGCATATCTAAATATATACATACATATTTGCTTTTTCTTTTTGTTGGTCATGGGGCTTGAACTCTGGGCCTGGGTGCTGTCCCTCAGCTCTTCAGCTCAAGGCCAGTGCTCTGCCACTTGAGCTACAGCACCACTTCCGGTTTTCTGGTCGTTTATTGGCAATAAGAGCTTCATGGACTTTCCTGCCCAGGCTGGCTTTGAACTGTAATCCTCAGACCTCAGCCTCCTCAGTAGCTAGGATTACAGGAGGGAGTCACCAGCACCCAGCCATGTTTGCTCTTTGACTTAGAAGTTCTGGACATAAACATCAAACTATTTCCTGGGTCTTTCTAACTGGCATCCATTCCATTGCTCACCACAGAGCTGGTCTTTGCTTTTTCCACCTCCATCATTGCTATCTTGCTAATCTGCTATCACTTTCCAGCCCTCAGATCCTCACATACCTCTCAGTTCTATTCCTTCCTCTTTGTCCCTTCAGATGGTCTCAGTTTTAATCCTTCTTTCAGTATCTCCAGAATGCTGCCTGCTCTCTTGGTCTCCCAAGCTCTAGCCAATCCACAAAGCTGACTAAGAGCCACTTTTCTAATTAGCAGAAGAACATCGAATCACCTTCCTGCTCGGAAATCCTCAGCTCTCCAGTCCTACACGAGAAAAATCCAAACTTTTGAGTGCAATAGCTGAGAATCCTGCCCCAGAAACCTAAAATGCCATTTATAGCTATTGTATTTCCCACCAGTCCCCCATGCTGTTGTCTTTGAACCATACTTTATCTGCTTATGTCTTTTTTTGATGCATTCATAATCATTAATCAGATTATTCTTTATACCTCCTATGGACCTGAAAAATAATTTCCATTCTTCAAGGTCAAATTCAAATTCTCTAGGAGTCTTTGTCTATTGCTTCTTCTGTCTTCATTCATTCATCCATTCACCTACTCACTCATCCACTCATTCATTCACTTTGGAAAGTATTTATTGGGCCTGTTCTGTTTCAAGCAGTGTGTAGTAACGGGAAACAGGAAAGGAAAAGCAGAAATAGTTACAATAATTGGAAAGACAGGTCATATGCAAATAGAATCTTACTTTATTATATTAACCTGTATGTGCCTACGTGTGTGTTTATGATTACCCCACGGAGGTCTTTTGTGAGTAGGGCATATCTTGGGCATCATTTTCCACCTCAGGAACACAGGATAATTTACCTCAGCATGCTCTCAAGAATGAAAAGTAATTAATAGATGCACCAATAACAAATACATCAATGGCCTGCCAGCCTGTGTTTATCCACATAATGAGCCATGTACTTAATTGCTTAGAGTATTTTGTCTCTCTCGGATATCGGGAGAGTTGATGGGTCCTCGTGTGGAGAGGGCAGCGCTCAGTTTCATCGAAACTCTGGATCATGGTTTCATTTTTGAAGTTGCACAGGCCATGTCCACAATCACTTCAGCGCTTTTTCCTGTCTAGTTAGGCCAATGGGAAGATCCTGAAAACTCCATCAGCTTCTTCCTAGTTACCTGAAGAGCCCAAAAGCCTGGAAGCCCACTCTGACCTTTGGAGATCATCGCTTTTGGCTCTTTTTGACTGTAAGAAGAGAGTTGAACTAAAATTCTCTTTTGATCTCATATTTACAGCAACTTTCGACTGCACAAAGACAGACATCCTCCTAGCTCAGTGCTGTGGGTGAAAGCAGAGGGGCTTTGGTTTAGGGCGGCAGGCTGATGGGTGGCAGAACCAGTACTGCCAATGCCAGGCTGCCAGTTGCCTACCCAGAGTGCAGGGGGTCGCAAAGGAAGCCGGGCCGCCTATACTGCTCATCGCTCAGGCCAGGCCCACCTAAAAAGCAGCAAAGGGAGAGAGGGGAAGGGCGTTTCTAGGGTTACAGGCTGGGGCAGCGTCCTGCCCTTGTGTTGCATGGGCAGCTGGGGGAAGCCCCTCCACCTGTCCTCCTTGCTGGCGACAGACCCCAGGGCAAACTCCATGCAGACAATGGGAATGGGGTGGCTGGTGTCCACTGGAGACTCTGCAGGTGTGATGGGGTTTGGGGAAAGCGCCTTGCACATCTGGGGTTAGGCATTTTGTGTTGAGGGCTAGGTGTGTAGTAGAGAGTAGCAATCACAAGCCTGGCTCGCGACGGGAAGGGAGTTATATAGAATGTGGAGAGACTTGAGGGGCACTGGGCCCTCGGCTCCATGTGTTGCTTGTTTCAGTATGGGCCTAAGAGGAGACACATCTCAAAGACGTCTGGAAGGTTTCCTATAAACCTATGAGCCAAATCAGGTAGCTATGAGGTTATCATGTATGTTCAGTAGCACTTGAGGAGAGTGGATGGCCCTCGATGATGAATGTCTCAGCAGTCATGGATGAACTCAGCTTCCTGACTGCTATTGTGTGGCTCTGGGATAACTGACCTCGCCCCCAAGGCCCCTGTGTTTAAGGTGTTGTCAGCAACTCGTGGTGCCATTGGAGGGGGTGGGGGGTGAGTCAGGGGACAGAGGTGAGGAGACAGAAACATTTGAACAAATGTTGAAAGGGCCAGATTTACACATTAAAACCAGGAAGTGAAAATGGGGGAAAAGAACCCTAGAAAACAACTTTTCCTTCCCACCATACCTCCTTTTGGATGCGAAGTTAAAAGAGTAGGAGATGTAAGAGGCATGATTTAAATCTACCTTCTCCTTTGTAATGGGAAAAAGCTGCAGGCTCTTCCTAAATGGGTAGAGATAGAAAGGGAGAAGCCTATCTGGGAATAGGCAGTCCTAAAACTCATGTTTTCTCTCTTTGTTTCTCTATTTTCTGACTTATCACCATGAACAGCAGCCATCTTGGCCATGCAGAACCCACATCTAATGGTTGGTCATTGCTATAAAGCTCAACTGCATGTGTCCACCCAGCTCAGGAAGAATAAAGGCAGCAGGTCACAGCTGCCATTTTGAGTCTTTAACTCCCATGTCCTGCTTGGGGGACAGGATATGTTACTCTCTTCTCTGTTTCTACTCTATCCTCTTCTACTAAAACAAATCCTTGCTGAACTCCCACCTTGCTGGGGTCTCCTTAAATACAGATTTCAAGGGACTGGGATTCTG